AAAACAAAACAAAACAAAACAAAAAAAATGCCAAGGAAGACCATGACAAATGCAATAGGTCCTTTTTTCAAGTGGGTAACTCTCCATCAGGAACCGGCCTGAGAACACGTCATTTCATATGTCACTGAATAGCTGTCAGCCAACAACCTAGACTGAAAATAGCAATATAGAGATGAAAGGCCCCCCACTCACTGGGAGTCTATAAGGCCAGCTCATATACTTGACATTTTTGTCTTGGTTTTAAAACTACGGTTCTTATCAAAATTCACAAGCTTTGTCCACAAGCATTAATTCTCTAACCCGCAAAATTTCAAGATTAAAAAAGCTCTGAGCAGGAAGCATCAAGATTTTTGCCTTTCACCTTGTGACATTGTAAAATGCATTCTATGCTTAATAAAACTAGGTAACTATTGCATACCGGGCTTGCTCACGAAGTAATTTTTCTTTTTGGTACTTCTGCTCTTTCAGGGCTTTCCTATGTCTCTTCTCTGCTCTTTGTTTCCTTTCCTCTGCTTGCTTTGCCAGAGCTTCTAAGTCAGGTTCCTTAACAATAAAATATTGCAAGCACTTAATACAGGATTTCACTCACTTCTTACACTATCAGTGTGATATTTCAAATTAACTCTTTCTTCTCTGCCATCTTCTTTACTCTCTTCTTCTCTACCACCAACAGCAGCAAATTTGCCACATTCCTCAGCCAATGTAACCAAATATTGATGTGGGAACCTTAGCTTCCTTCTGCATCTCTTTGATGAAGAGGGTAATGTAAATATACTTACACATTTTAGCAAATGCTAACTAAACTGTACAGAGAAAGCATGTTACTACTTTTCAGTCATTAGTTACAACAATCGTGTATCAACAGAAACATTTCTTTATGATTAGTTCTCTGTTCCTATGGCATTGGTACCACAGTTTTCCCACAAACTCGTCCATCCTAGCATCGGACAGGACTTTACAAAGAAGTTGATTTAGAGACACTGAGATACAGAAAAGTATAATGCTATTTTACTTGGGTTAAAAAGCCTGACCAATTCAGGAAGTAAGCTAGTCCGCAAAATTCTTGCAAGAAATCTGTGGCACCGCTGATTTCTATAAACCTGGTTCACAATCAAATCTATGGACAATTTCTACCCAACAACCTCAGTGATCCCTCAAAGAGAGCCTACACAAGTTACAGGATTTTAAAGAAAGTGAAAATAGTTTATAGGTGCACAATTAAGAAGTAACACCAGTTTGCAGTCTAGACAAAGGCCTCTGAAGCCCTTACCAAGACTTTCCATGTCACTTGAACACTGAGGAAAAAAAATAAAGTGTATTTTCCTAACCATAGAAAAGATACTGTTACATGATAGAGAAAAAAAGTTACTATATTACTGGCATACTTGAGAATGATTCACCATATGCAATTTAGTCAAGTACAAACATACACTATCATGTATGTGTACAATCTTACATAAACAAAATAACTTTGTTTGCACAGCAAAAGCCTGAGCAGATGGGCCTGCTAGACCATTTAAACCTGGTCTTGTGGAAAGATATCTGCAAAAAAATTACATAAACATTTCTAAGAAGTTTCCATTCTTAAAAAATTGCTGGTTTAGGTATCAGGACTGCAAGATCAAGAATATAAAAAAACCAAACAGCAATCTTGGTATTTCTAGGACATCAAGAATTTCTCTGACAACAATAGTAAGCTGTTTTACTTACATTCTCCTTGGCTTGTCGGTGACCCTCACCAATCGCTCTTAAGCTTGATAAATACAGCTTTTCTAAGGCTTTCATCTTTTGATCCTGTGCTTTCTGCCATTCAGCTGTCAGTGCCTCCTCTAACTGATGTAGTTGTTCTTCTCTCCTCTGCTTTACTTTCTGTCTTATCTGCAAGGCGATATACTTCTGCTGCTCTCTAACCTGTAGAAATAGCATTTATGTTTTGTCAGCAACTTAAAAAAGCACACTATTTCTGCAGCAAGTCTTTCCACAATATACTCTATCCTCCGTTCAGCTTTCCATGCCATCTACTATTCCATTAACAATCTGTCCAGAAAATGCTTTGAAGTTGCCATTACCTTTTTCCAAAACTAATATTTAAATAATAAATTTAATCTTAGTTCAATGTTTCAGTTAAAGTCCAAAGAGCAACATAAAACCAATAAACAAAATGCAAAAACTGCTTGGAATATCCTTCCCTCCAAAAATACAACACAATAATTTATTAAAGACTCCTATTACAATGCAACATGGTTTAAAGACAATTGGCAACAATACTGATAAAGTCTGTTTACTAAGTTTTTGTTTTCCGCTTTGTCAGTAAAACTCTGTTCGCTAAACGGAAAAGCATATCAAGAAAAAAGCCCAAGAGGGGTGAAAGATTAGTATATAGTAAACGTATTGAAGATGCGTAATACTTTTGGAAGATGTGAAAGACCTGAACAGCTTGTGTAGGACAAAGCAGAGGAAGGCTAAGGAAAGAGTAAGAAGAGAAACGGAGAAGTAGCCCTGTGTTCTAACAGCAGGACAGCAGAACAGAAATGGAAGAAAGATGAGATGATCAACAGACATGTTCTGAAGAACATAAAGGTACTCAGATGTTCTAAAAGGAGCAGTACTTAAAGCATTTAGTGCTATGACATATTGTAGCAATTCAGTTTGTCTAGTGGAAAGCTGTGAAGTTCTGTATTAGCAGTAGTTGTCTTATTTCTTCTGCATGATCACTGTGAAAACACCTGGAACACTGTAAGAGGTTTGAATCCTTACACAAGTGACAAATCAGCAGATGAGCGACAACTGCATGTTCACGGCCAAATAAAAATGGTAGATAGCAGGAAGCTGGCAGGGAAGAAGAGATTCTGTGAAAAGAGATTCAAAGTGAATCTAACAGAGAAGGTATCACAAGCAAAATACGCATTTAGTAGTAAATAAACATGAGAAAAGGAAAATAATTCACAAACTAAATACAAACCTAATATACAATATTATGACCCTGAAATTCAGTTTACATGCAATTTTTCAGTTAATTTTCCTAAATTATTTGTTACATCATTAAATGAAATACACAACATGAAAAAATGCAGGCATACTTGTTGTAGCCTCAGTTTTCTTCTTCTTTCATATTCTTCTTTCAGAAGCATGGTTTCTTCATTAGGACTAAGCCTCAATTTCCCAACTTTTGCAACTTTCCTCTTCATCTTTGGAAATGCTGAATAATCAACTTCTATGAGAACAACAAGAAAAAAAGAAATTGTGCATAAGTGATACAGGTAAATCAGGTATAAAAACCAGATATTGCCATAATCTTACAAATCTATCACGGTATCTAGGAGTGTGAGCTGTAACTGTCCACATCTGTTCCAATTGTACGTAACAACATTGGCACTGTCTTTGTCACAGTCACAAAATGCACTGCTTTTGAACTGTTATGTTATGTAGCAAATTCTGCAACACTATTATGTTCACATTCTACACTGTGCACCAGCCAGGCACATCTGCAAAGTGAACAGCGAACACCATTCCACTCCTGGGAAGATAAATAGAAAA